ACGGTGTGGCTATTGGTCCCTGTCCTGTTGCTAGCATTGTGCCTGTCTTATGTATAATCACATCACCAAAAAAAAAGGAAAAAAAAATACAAAGGACATATTTTTTTTTTTCCGTTTTGTAATCGTAAAGAAATAGTAGCTAAACTGCTTAATGGTTGGGGTTTTCACAATTTTCAACATTATCTAGTGGTTTTGGTTCTGTTCTAGTTTAAAGGATTTGTCATCGTTTCTTTAAAAAACAACAATGCTACCATATCCCTCTGCATAAGTGCTTTTCTATTTATAAGGTTGAAAATTCTGAATTACCCTTTTAGCATTATAAAAACCACAAAAAAAACCACCTTGTATTTTGTAAATATTTTCTTTTCCTGCTTTGAGCTGTGTAATGTCCTTGTTATATAGAAATGCTTTTCTTCCGAAAAGCTGATCTTTGTTAATGTCTTGATTCTGTTGGCAAAGCACAGACGTGCTTATAAAAAAAAAAAAAGAAGAAAAGATTAAAAAAAAAATTAAAAGAGAATATTCCAGGCAACGTGTGTTTGTGAAACGCTGGGTTGGGAAGTGGAATGGGCCCTTCCACGTGCTCAGCCCGGTCTCGGGCGGATCAGCCGCCTCCCTCCCACCCTGCGGTTGAATGGCCTCTTTTTTTTCCTTTATAACCTTATTTCCCGGCAGTTACTGTCAATTAGTGAAAAGAGGAATTGTTCCAGGGGATCTCCGGGTTTGGGCTTTGCCCTGGGATACGCGATGGAGCAGGACCTTCCCTGGGAGAGAGCTCACGAGCACCGAGCTCTGCCTCGTGGCGCTCGGTCAAACCGCCCGGGGTGGGCGAGGGTTTTATTTTACCTTTTCAGGGTTAACGGGTTGCTGCTGATTTGCACCCAGGTGCTGTTTGTGCAAATTGTTTGCCTCCGTGGCGGGGTTTTGCTGTGAAAGTTGAATGTTTGCAAAAGGCAAGTGGTGGGAGGCGACTTCATGGCTGCTCTTAAATTTCCAAGATAAGAGAATTACACTTTGTGCCTCGTTACCCGAGTGGATGGGAAACAGGAGGGTGCTGGGTGATTATTAGCCAGATGATCAAAGTAGGAGGCAGCAACCTGGGCATCGCCGGGTTTGTTACAAGTAATTAACAGGGGAGGAAAAATCCAATCTGAAAAGCAAACGGTGGCAGCCGCGGCTGCGCCAGCAGTTGTGCCGCGCTGGAAACTCCTGACCTGCAGAAGGCGGCCGAGTCCGGGGGAAGGTGCGGAGCAGGGGGCTCGCGGTGCTGGTTTGTGGCCGCCGAAGTGCCGGTG